ATTTCTTAGTTTGTAGCGTTTTTCTTTCTTTCCACAGTTGTTTATCCAGGAAGTGTGTTTTTTGCTGATTCACTGTAAGACGAGAGCATGGTTTTTTGATTGATTGGTTATTTTAGTAATTAATCCGCTGATTCTTTTCATTTTAAAAATCGGGAGATAGTCGCAGTTACTTAAAGCCCACTTTCGTGTCTTTCTATTCAGCGCCCCAGATTACACAGAAAACTGAGACAAACACTAATTTCTGCCTAAACGTCTGAGGAAGGTCAGACGTTTAAGTTTTACTGTTCAATGACTTCCAGTTGACGAGTTGATTTTAGCTTCCAGATGGGATTTATGCATAATAAGTTTAGAAAATACAAGACAACTGAACAAATTAGCCCTCTTCCTGTTAAAAGGGAGGTTTTACTTCCCACTGTTGCCAAGTCCTTGCTAATAGGGAGTCATGTGATTGTCGAATTTCCTCTGAAGATAAAGATGGGACTTTCTGGAAAGAAAACATTAATACATTTTTGGTCCTGATTTTGACTTCTTTTCTTTATATGCTGGCAGTGATGTGGATGTTTTGTCTGAGTGGCAACAGCTTTCAGGAGAATACTGGAGCAGGTATTCGTGCAATAAGTGGTGTTAAATGGTACAAAGCTGTGGCGATGTTTGATTCCCCCCTTAGCTTCTGGGGGCAGTGTCCTATATCTCAGGAGTCCAGACTCAGGAATCTAAGGAATAAAAACTAAATCACCGCCAAACGAACTCTAAACTTTAAACCTGCCTGTAGTAATCGGTTATCCAAAATTACCTGATCTGAGGATTAGGAATAAGATCTCTCCTGTTGGAGGTCTTAGCTGGGATAGTCTAGTTACACTGGAATACCAGAAGTCTCATCTCATGCCTATAGATGTTACATATGAACATGCAGATATTGTTAGGGGAATTTAAACGGGGGGATTTAGTGGCAGAAACACACACGGGCACAGGATCGCGGTGAAGCAGATTTATTTACAGTGACAGGGGAATATTTACAAGGGAAGGAGCTATGTACAGTGGCCGGGAAAATGTGCGAGGAGACGGAGCCGAGGGGATGAAACGGAGCCGAGGTATGCGGGAGGATAGATGGCGCACCGGAGCTACCTGAGGACGAGCGACAAAACAGAGTTAGGGGATAACGTCGAGAGTAAAACTGAGGCGGACGGGGAGAGTTGGAGAGCTTACTTGAAACACTGAAATACAGGTATGGCAGTGGTCACAGGCCGGCGCGAGGTAAGTCTCTGTCACAGATCCAAAGAGGGCCAGCACACACAGGCAGGCGGCGAGACAGGCTGGTGCAGAGGGAAAGCAGGCAGGAGACGGATCTTAAAACATGCAGCTCAGTAGCGCGGAAGCAACAGATTAATCTTGCAAAAGCACGTTACCACTTGTGGAAGCGACGATACTGCGACACCAGACGTCCGTTACTCAGCTCCATAAATGCTCCCACTGATGACGTCCGATACGCCGCCGGAATGCCATCAAGCACCGCCCCGCCGTGTCTCGAAAAGGGAAACAAAAACCCAGGAACAACAACACGCATGCCCACCAACTCCTAATAGATATGTGATTACAGAGATTAGCCATTTAAAACTGGAGTCCATCCATCTCTTTCCTTCCACTAATCCAATTTAGGGTGGCAGGGGCGGCCTGGAGCCTATCTCAGCTGTCATAAAGCGAGAAGCAGGCTACTCCCTGGACAAGAGGCCAACATTCACGCCCGCATTCACATGTAGAATCACCAGTTAACCTAAAGCCATGCATGTCTTTGGACTGTGAGAGAACCAGAGTACTCACAGAGAATCCACACAAGTCCCAGGACTTGCTGTGAGGCAGCACTCTGCCACCCACAGTATTAAAAACCTAATGAAGACAGATCAGCCAAAGACAGTATCTGCTTTGAAACATGTTACAGTGGAGGGTTCGTTTCACACTTAAGTGAAAAAGATCAAACTGATTATGAGAATTGTGATGAGACATCCGACTATCGCGTCAACCACCCATGGACACTTGGCCCTTTTCCCCGCAGTCTTCCTACAAGTTCAGTCACGGTGGCTAACTTGTTATGGTAATTGCTCGTGATGTAGCATACATTCAGCTGTAATGACTTTATCCGTGGCTTTCTCTTTCAGGCGCTGTGGCCAGCACCGAGGTGAAGATGCGTCTCCAGGAGTTCGTCCTGAATAAGAAGAAGGCACTGGCCCAGCGTAGCATCAACCAAGGAGGCCTCCCCAACGACGCTCCCTACTGGTACCGGTGAGGAGCATCTTTTGTGGTGTTAGCTCAGCTAGTAATGCACATGATACACTCGACCAAAAAGTTTGTTTGACATTAAATCATTCTCCCTCCTGTCAGTGCACGAGCCGCCACTGATTCTTTGTAATGACTGTAAGCAGCAGAAGACTCCTGAACGCATCTGCAGGTCTTTCTAAGTGTAGGATGGTAATTCTGTCTCTGACAGCGGCTGAATAATGTATTGGATTGTATCTTAATCTGTCAGCGAGCTTCCTCTCCTCCACACCTGCCACACTGTGTGAGCCCGACTGAAAGATGGATCTAGCAGGGTTATGAAACAAAGATGGCAGCGCGCACACACACATATGCTCACACGCACACGTGATAGAGCTGCATATTGGAAGCTGATGATAGGGACCCTCACATTGAAGACCTGGCCTTGGATGGTTATTGTAGCATCTCGGGAGCCTTGTGCAGGTGTGCACACTTGCTGTTTCCTCTTTCTAGGTTTGGTGGCCTCCTGTCACATGTTTTTTATTGCCCGTCAGTGACGTTGTAGACAGCGTGCTCAATGCAAGCTACAGAATTTAATATACAAACACACATCAGTTATATTTATATATAAATACTCCAATCACTGGACGTCAACTTTTCCTACTCGCAAGGAGTTTGCAGTCCTGGTTTGACTCTGTGTGAAGGAAACATGAAGATGTGAGTTTAACGACAAATAGTTGAATAATGGTGACATGGACTCGCGGTGAGTAAAGACAGTCCTCTGGGACTTTTGACACTGGGAACACAATTAAAATTCACATGTATTCATTCTTTACTGTCATTAATTAGTTTACTTGGAAAAAGTATATTTTCCAGTTTTGAATTGAATTTCCAGTAATATCAATTCTCAAACTCCTAGAACTTTGCAACTCAGGTGAGAGACTTTAGTTCAACCAGTGTAACGTGCCATCAGCTAATTGTATATTTTGTATGAAAATGTATATGCAGTTGACTTTTCTCTCTGTGTAAATAACTCAGAACTGTAGAATAAAAGCACAGCCCTTAAATTAATATTAGCGCTCACTACTGCTGACACAGGCCTGACATATATTTAGCTTTGAAGTTCAGCCCTGGATGTAGCACATCCGAATATTATTCCCTATGACTACATGCGTCTTTGTGCTACAACAAAAAAGGACTGAAACCACAAATTGCAAACGCAAAACCAAATAAATAACGTTACATAATCTTGATGTGTGACCCAGTGAAACACCCACAAGTGTTGACTTTCAACAGCTCAAAGTAACACAAAGTGTATCTTTCTATATCTGCCTGCTTCTCTCCTTTTCTACGCCTCTCTCTGTAATCTAAATTTCTCCACTCATTGGACTCAGTTTGGAAGAGACAAGTGTGTGCATCCGCTTGTCAGGAACATGCATTTGGGTCAAAGCCAACACGGCTTAACTTTGCCTGCAAACACCACCTTATTTTGCAGGCAGTGAACAGATGGCAGCACATTTCTGTGTTCTTGCCAAGGGATTTGCATGATGCTTTAATCATAAAGATCTATGACAGCCATGAAGTTCGTTACTTTGTCTGGATTACTCATTGAGTCACGTGTACAGTGAGTTATCGGTGTTTTGCCTTGTTGCACATGTTTTGTGATCTTGGTGGCCCCTTTAATACTGTGTGTGTGTGTGTGTGTGTGTGTGTGTGTGTGTGT